ATAAGCATTAAGTATACATAAAGCAATTAGCATAAAGTGTGGGTCGTAACCAATAAATCCTTTGCCTTTTACTTTTGTCCTTATTCTATAGCTCAGGGGTCCCCAACCTATGGTGAGTTGTATAATTATTTCATCATAGATGACAATGGAATAATAATAGAAATAAAGTGCACAATAAGTGTAATGCCCTTGAATCATCCCCAAACCATCTACCATCTCCCTGGTCTGCGGAAAAATTGTCTTCCATGAAAATGGTCCCCTGGTGCCAAAACAGTTGGGGACCGCTGCATAGCTACAGTGCCTAACACGGTGCCTGGCACACACTGGTAGTGGTGATTGCAGGAGGGATGGTGTGATGGTGGTGGTGCTGATATTGGAACAATGGTGGTGGTGATGTTATCATGGGGGCAGTGGTAGCAGGGTGGTGGCAGTGCTGATACTGGTGACGACATGGTGGGGCTGATGATGTCGTGATGCCGTGATGGCAGTGGTGACAGCACAGTGGTAGCAGTGGTGGTGGTGGTGATGGTATGATGGTAGCAATAAATAAGGATAACAAAAATCAGCAGCAAGCATGTATTGAGAGTTTACTGTACGCCAGGAACTGCACTAAGTACTTGCCTATGTCTAATTTCGTCCTCTTGACATCTTCCAGATTTTACTAGTACCGCCCCCATCTTTCAGGTGAGTGAACTGAGGTTTCAGAAGTTGAGTAATTTGCCTGGGATCCTACATTTAAGAAATTAAGACCAAGTCAGAATTTGACACAGGCTGTGTGACATCACCGTGAGTATGCAAAGCGCTCGACGGTTATTTGAAGAAGGAAGGAAGGAAAAAAGGAAGGAAGGAATTGACTGGTTTTCTTATCATAAGATTCCTTTTCTGAAAATGAAGATAATCTTAGCTTTTATGAAAATCAAATGAGATAAAGAAAGGCAAAGCTCCCTGAAAACTGTCAAGTCTTCCTGTGTATAAAGACCAAATCAGCAGCAGCATCTTTGCAGTCATTCACTCATCCATTCAATGGATGTTGGGTTTTCTGCTCTAGGTGCTGGGAATAGAGTGACCAAATGAAACCAAAGGGCCTGCCCTCATTGAGCTCTCAGTCTAGTGACAGGCAGTAAACAAATAACAAGTAAAACATAGAGACCCGTGTGGAAAACATGCAGCGTGGAGGGGTCTGGGGGCATATGCATATGTTGGGGGTGGGGTCCTTCTTTTAACACAGTGGTCAGGGACGGCCTCTGATAGGGTAACATTTGGGCAGGACCTGAAGGAGGTAAGCAGGGAGCTGTTCAGTGTCTGGGGAAGAGTGTTTTATCTCCCGCAGGACAGTTTAAAAGCCAAATTAAGAATATTTAGAAACAGCAAGGTCAATGTGTTGAGAATGCTGGGAATGGGCTTACCCAGGAAGCCCAAGGCCTGTTGCCCCTGGAAACATGCAAAGTTGATTCAGTCTTTCCCCTAGCACTGTTCTCGAAGGTTCAGTGAAGGTGTGATGTCCTGGAGGAGAGATGCCATTATCCAGAAGCCTGGTTCCCCCGGCAACGGGCAGTGAGCAAGTAGCCTCTCCTCGCCATTCAGCCAGCCCTGGGCAAGATCACACTGGGCAGGTGGCCTGTGCTCCTGGCCTCACTGCTCCCAGCTGGGAAAGTAAGTCAGGGGTTCTCACCACATGGAAAGGAAAAGCCCCGCTCCACAGAGGTCTATAATGGGACTGTTTATTTAAGGCTATAATCATCTAAGATGAAGCTATTGGATGTTATTTAGATATGTGGACAATGCCAAATTATAGGATTGTAAGCACAGGAGAAGATGATGAAAGAAATCATCAACAAGACTGACGAGCTTGGAGGAATAGGTAAACAGTCACGGGAAGAGATTTAATTTAGATAAACCTAAGGCAGGGTCTCTGGAAGATGCCGAGGTCTGGGGAAAGTGGAGAGGGAAAGAGAGTGAGTTAGAGGGAAGAGACATATAGAAAGGGTTCAGAAAATGATGCTGGTGGCCGTCTGGGCAGTCCTGTGATAAAAGTAGAGGAAATGGGAAAAGGATTACTGAAAAATGTGGCTTCTCCTTAGAATCCAAAAAGAAATGGCATGATGGCATGTGGGAGAGAAAACCAGATTGGGAGTCCGAGGGCTGTAGTTCTACGCCCAAGTCTGCTAAGGAACTGCCTCTGTGACTAGGGAGAGCCTTTTGATTTTTTCTGACCTTTGGTGTCCACTTCTTTAATGACATGTAATGTGGTTCTCAGCCCAAATGTCCTCAGTTCTCTTATGTTTAAGGAGGGCATCGTGTGCTCTGAGGTGCACCCCTGCCCCTCCCAGCAGACCTTGATGGGAACAGCAAAAGATACGGGTTCATGACAAGTGGTCATATGGAAGGGCATTCATCTTGAAGATGGATCAAAGGTCCAGGCATCCTCAGAGACACTGAAAGAAGTTTAAAGCTTGCAGAATTGAGGAAGGATGACAGTTATGATAGTTCAGTATAAGTGGATTTTGCCAGAGGTTGTAGAAAAAAAAAATAAAAGGGAAGATTCATTTAAAGTGGTCAAAGGGAATAGGGAATGTAGAATGAGGGGTGAATTAAACAAGACAAATTAGAGGCTGGGTGATTTAAGGACTGGAGGGAAGTTTGGGCAACTTTAAGATGCCATGGCTGTCGGGCATGCAGGAATAGGTGTATTCTGCTGCAGACCATAACCTTCTATCCATTTTGGGGTTGGGGCAAGATTTGCAAAAATATACCAAAGAACATCAGGCTTATCTTAGTTGCTCAGATCTTGGGTTAGTTCACCACGGCAGCAGTGTGGGGGCTAACTGCATGCTAAGCTTGGTATGCAGGGGCTGGTAAACTTTTCCTGCAAAGAGCCAAATAGTAAATATTTTAGGTTTTGTGAGCCATACAGTCTCTGCTGCAACTATTCTTCTCTGCTGTTAGAGAATGAAAGCAGCCTTAGATGATAGTAAATGAACAAGCACAGCTGTATTCCAATAAAACTATATTTATAAACACAGGCAGCTGGATTTGGCCCACATGCCATAGTGTGCTGACACCTGTTTAAATGCATGATGACCCCCACCTACCAGCAAATGTGTCCTCATCAGTGTCCTGAAATCTCTCCAGTTCTATAACTCCTCCCTGAGAGTGAGGGCAGGAGGGCTCTTTTCCAACAGGCAGTTTCAAGCACGGAATCACTTACTGAGACATGTGTCCCTGGAAATGCATTTCAAGATGACAAACATCTTAGGTATTAACTTGGTCATTGGTGTTGGAGGATGAATTTGAAGGAGGGCATTAGATGTTCGTATGATTGACATATGTTGAAAAGAGACTCACCAACATGGAGGCAGGTTTTGAGTTGAAGAAACAGGCTCTTCAGTCTAGAGAGTCGATTGGTTGGGGAACATCAGGGAAGAGACAGAGAAGTCAAATGGTTGGAAGTCACAGGGAGAGCGACCATGGCTAGTTGTAACATAGATTATGCATCTGGAGCTTTATATTTTATAAAATATTTTGGGAAGGGCATTGTTACCCTACTTATCAGAAGATGCAAAGGCCCTTCTCATAGTTTACCCATACATAGCGGAATTCAGTAATTATTGATGATGCTAATGTGTGCTTCTGATAATGCAATAGCAGATAATGCAACCACCGTTCACTGAGGCACTGCGCCGGCTGAGAGCTTCCCATGCATCAGCTCCTTGAATCTGTGCAACAGCCTTGGGAAGCAGATATGAGAAGCATTTTACAGATGAGAAAATGGAGTCAGGCTTGGTAACTGGAAACACAGGAAACACAGTTGATAACAAGTGCCAGAGCTGTGCCAGAACCCAGCTGTGATCACACAGCTGACACCCCTAATCGCCACGGTGTCCTGCTGCACAACTGTGACATTCCTTCAATAGTGGTCATGTTAAAATGAAGTGTCAGTGCTTAGACCAGTACCCCATAAGGATCCTTTTAAACCAAGCTATTATTGAGGTTCACAGGCAGAAAGTTATGTCCTTGTCTGTTTCGTTTTGGTTTTTCACCATGTTACCTCTAGCATTCAGTAGTGTCTGATAAATATTTGAATAAATGAATCAGTGCACAAACATTATTTGTGCTTATTTTCTCTTTTTAATATAAAAATACTCATAACCATCTAGGCCAAGTCTCCACGATTTTATGATCATGCTTCATACTTCTCTCTTTTGACCACATAGTCTAATATCCTGGGCATGGTGGGCACTTAAGGAATATTAGCTATGGATGAGGCACGATAGTTCATTCTTGATATCTAAAGTTCTATACAGCTACAGTAATCAACAACCTTTTACCCTTCCTAGCTCCTGTGACAGATGCAACTACTTCGTATTCCCCTTGTGGGAGTCGTGACTCAACTCTTTTCTCTCCTATTTATGGATGTCGATTGGAAAGTAAATCAGAAAGGGATAAACTGAAATATGTTCTGATTTATAAATGACGCCTTGTTTGAAACGTTGGTGACTATATTACTAATATCTGGTTAATTGTAACACAGTTTGTAACACAGTTTAGAGCCATCACTATATCAATAGAAGACCTGGTGGGACTTTAATGTGGCTCCAGGTGGCAGAGCTCAGACCTGTGGAAGAATCGGGGGTAATGGCTGGAAGGATGTGATCACAGCACCATCAAAGGGTAAATGGGCCACAGGGTGAACTAGTGAGCCCCAGGCCCCAGAGACACTGAAGCAGAGATGGCCATGGTGGGGTATAGAGAGTATGACTATTAACAAGTGGAAGTCAGACATAATTATCACTAAGGCCCATTTGAAATATAAACTTCCTGGATTTTTGACATATCCCTTCTCTCAGTTTATTGTGACATTTGGTAAACAGACTGCCCTTTTTAAAAACATGTTGTTGAAATACATCACTTGTTTGAATTTTTACTCCTCCTTAAGCAATCCAGGCCTGGTTGCTAACATTGGCAGGACCTTGGTCTATGGCATACGTATTTATTCTTCCTTTTCACTTAGTGACTTCCAATTAACAAAGCTCATGCTATGTCAGATCACATAAGCTCATGTGTCCAGGAAAGACAGCCACCATGGCAACCAGACCATAAAAATTAGCTCAGTACTTCCTTGTGAGCTCTGGATTGTTCTGGAATGGCCTGAAGATGGAGTCCCCCTCATCTTCAACCAGGTTGAAGTCTGGTTCCTTCAACCAGGTTGAATAATTAGGGTGGTGCACATTAATCACTCCTGTCTCATCATTATTCAGTGATAGATGTCACCAGCACTTTGATGGGTTAAGGTCAGACTCACCGCATTTATTTTCAGGTTTGAAATAGAGCTGTATGCAATCCATTATTACTTGGATCTTTGAGGTATGTACTTTTAAAAAGTCATCTTGATTGTGAAACACAGTCCTGAAGTAGAACACCTTCATTCTGGGTCTGCAAGAGGAATGGCATTATTCCCATTTTACTCAAAAGTAAAACTGAGACCCAAGGATCCAGGGTCTCTGTGGCCAAAGGTATACTAATAGTTAGGGGCAGATTTGGAACTAAACTCCATGTTAGTTTTCTCCAAATACAGAAAAATTTCTATCAGGCAATTTTTTTATACAAAGCTATACTTTCAGGACTGATGATTTGGCAAGTTGTTTGCTGGTTATGTGTATATTTATTATTGCATGCAATTATTAGTAAAAAGAGTATCTATTTAAATAATATGAGTGATTCATGTTTATTATGGGAAACTATAAAATATAGGTAAGAAAAACGTGATGGGAATCAAAATACTCATCACTGTACAACTCTGAGATAACTCTGTTCATATGCTGGTATATATCCTTTTAGACTTGCTAGTCATACATTGGGCTTTTTATTATTTTATAAGGCTGGAATCATAGTCTATGTACAGTTTTTTTATTCTTCAATATTACTTACAATACTATGATCATCTTTCATGGCAGTAAATAGACATCCACACTAGGGCTTAAATAGCTGTGTGGAATTCTTTGATGTAATATATCCTAATGTGTTCAGCAGAATCTTGTTGTTGGATGTTTAGGATGTCTGTGTATTTTTAAAACAACATACTTGAGGAGGCAGTGTGCAACCTTTAAAGCTCAAAAGTGGGATACTTAGGTGGTAAACAGCTCTGAAGAATTTAAGGAGTTAGCACTCAGTTAACCAGAAAATGAATCCCCCCCACCCCACTAATCTTCCACCAGTTTAAAATCTGGTTCCCTGCACTGGGCTGGGTAATTAAGGTGGTGCACATTAATCACCCTGTTCCCATGGTTATTCAGTGGTAGGCTCACCAGCGCTTTGATGTATTAAGGTCAGACTCCCTGCGTTTATTTCCAGGTTTGAAATAGAGCTGTGCACAATCCATTATCACTGTGGATCCTTGAGGTTTCCCTGCCACATCCAAGAGCAGAAGTGAGGTCTTCTGAGGTTAGCAGTCACCGCTGAATTTTCATCAGGAAAACAGAAAGAAAGCCAACAATTTAAACTCTGAAAAACCCAATGCCTGCCCAGAAAGAGTAACAGGATCAGAAGGGAGCCTGGAAGAAAGGTTCCCTAGAGTTGAGAAAGGTCATGGTGAAATTGGGTTTGTTGTGGGCCAGACACCCGAAAGGAAGAGTTTTAAAGAGTTCAGGGCAATAACAGCCAAACAGTAGCAAAAACGGCCAAATAATGGACTCTGGTATTTTCAGGGACAGAAAATGAATCCTCTTCAAAAATTTGCCAGGAAACCAATTTGCAGAAAGGAGGCAACTCTCAAAGTGATTCAGAAATTCCAAAAACATTTTTTTCTTCCACTGCTATGATGTTCAAGGGAGCCGCCTGGGTGGTTTATTAAGTGACCTGAGGTCTGCATTCTGGACGTGGCTTCAGACTCTTTCTGTGGGACTAAGAAAATTCTGTTCTCTGTCTGGGCTTTGACTTCCCATCCATTAAGAGGTAGAGAGGCATTATAATACTCAACAAGACTTCCAGTTTTATCATGTCCTAGCCATATGAAATTGGATCATTTCTTTAATCTCTTGGAAATACAGATACAAATATGTTTCTTACAAGATTGCACCGAGTATTAAAATAAAGTGAGGTATATAGAAAGCTTACCCTAGGACCTGTGACACAGTTGATGTTTAATAATTGTAGGCTTTGGCAGATGTTTTATTTTCTTCGTTCCTTTCCAGCTCCTAAGTATTATTCTATGTCGAGTGTTAGGGGTATACAGATATGCTAAGATATGTTCATTTCCCCCAAAGAGTTAGAGTGTATTGTGGGGAGAAGCCATGTAAACACACGTACTAGGAGATCGAGTAGAGAGCTGTGTCATTGAAACTCTCCCAGGGTGAGAGTCTAAACAGTGGAGGCAGCCTTTGAGGTAGGTTTCAAAAGATTAAAAAAAAAAATGTAGGATAAGATAGGAGTAGAAGGATTCAGATAAGAAAGTCAAGGGCACAACTGGATGGATGAATCATTACTATTCTTGCTAATGTGCTGATACAGTTGTTAAGATAAAGAAAAAGAAAGCATATTGTTTACCACTGAATGCAAATCAACTACTGCCAGAAAATTAAATTTTTTCCCTCAAGCTCAAAGTTGAAAAAGCCTGGTGTCTTTATTTTGCTATTAACAATCTGACCTGGGACAAATAACGTTACCTGTTCTTCAACTAAAATAAGGATTGTAAATCCTAACCTGTCCATCTCATTGGTTGTTGTGAAAATTTACCGAGACAATGCAGAGTCTCCTTACAACCATCTAGAAAGCTTGAGAAAGCACAGGTTGCTGGATCTCATCCCTCCAAAGGTTCTGATTCAATAGGTCTGGGTGGGACCCAAGAATTTCTTTTTTATTCTATAGAGACAAGGGGGTTTCAGTAGGTCTCTGGGGGTCTAACTATGTTGCCCGGAATGGTCTTGAACTTCTGGCTTCAAACAACCCTCCCATCTGGGCCTCCCAAAGTGCTGGGATCACAGGCATGAGCCACCATGACCAACCTTTTTATACAAGCTCCCAAGTGATGTTGATGTGGCCGGTCTGGGGACCACACTTAGAAAACCACTGCTTTGGGTCAATACAGGTTTTCTTAAAGTTATTATTCATAATTGTCTCAAGAGTCATGTGTGTATTCTGTTTTATTATGTTTCTAGCCCCTTGGTAGACTATCATGGATATGCACGAGTAGAAGGCATGAGAAGACAGAGGACTGCTCTGGCAGTCCTGCGTAGTGAATGCATGTGTTGATCTGATTTGTCTTCATGTAGCTTCTGGTCTCACTAGAGAGATATAAATTTATTAGAATGTATTGGGATGATATTATCCACTGGAATAAAATCAATTCTTTTTCCAGTTTTACTTTACTTTTTTTTCTTAGTAATCAAGCCTATGATTCCTAAAGGAGCTTTTCTTTTCTTTTCTCTTAACCTTTGATAGAAACTGCGTCCTTAATGTGGCCACTCTTCCTTTTCTGGTGCTATGACATTTCTTAATAGTCTTTAAAGGCTCCAGGTTGGATTGGGATTTCAATTAGTGGAAGAGAACAGACATCTGTGTAAATAGAGCCAGATGTCCCTTGCAATACCTGAAATGAACTGTCTCACCACTGGAACTGTAAATCACCTTGAGAAGGCTCCTCCTCCCAGGAGCAGCCTTTGCATCATTCATATCCCCACTGCCATAGTACTCTGCTGTCTTGTGAAGATAGTAGCCAAGCACCACGCCTTCGCAGCCCTCCCTGGGCCCCTGCGTTCATGCTGTACCCTATCCCTTGCACACTCTGGTCTTTGAGCTTCTCTGGAGAGCCAGGACCTGGCCTCAGTCATGCCAAGAGTGTTGCCTTTCTGTGATCACGCTACATTTTAAAGTGTGTGTTTCCACTTTGAAAGAGAAAAAACTGGAGTCCTCCTAATTCCTTCAAGCAACAGGGCAGAGAGAGCGCCGCCCCACCCCTCATTCTCCCTGAGGCAGTCACATGCTCTATACAGACTGAATCACTTTGGAGTTGTCTGCCTGTGTTGTGGGGTGTGGCTTTACTCTTTCTACATGTGGACCTGTTTTCTCTCTGTCACAAGTCCCAAACTGGTATCCTATGGACCATAGTCAGTGGTTTTGTATGTAGCATAAGTTTTTTAAAAAGAAAAGAAAATTGAGTTTGTGATCAGCATTAACAAAAAACAAAACAAAACAAATAAAAACACCATGAAAATTTTCATAAAAATTTGGATTTTCAGCTTCTTAAAAAATGTCAGAAGACTTGGCAGCACTGGACTCCCATGTCTAAAGGCAGCAGCTGAGTGCTAGACACCTCCTCTGCACAGGGCCACACTCTCCAGTTCACCGCTGTCCACACCAGTTTGTGCCACTCATTTCTATTACTTGCATGACTGCTAAAGGTATTTGAATTAGTGGCTCATTTTTGCTCTGTTTGACAAGTTCATAGCCTACATAGCTTGGCAACTGGAGAGGTCCCTTAGAGCAGGGACTTTCAAATATTGCTGCACATTAAAATCACCCAGGTCTTCAGCCCTATACTCCGGCTGCATCCAGTACCAATTAAGAATCTCTAGGGTAGGGCCCAGCGATCAGTGTTTTTTTGTTTGTTTGTTTGTTTTTTAATTCCCCAGATGATTCCAATATACAGACCAGTGTATTTGAGAGCCAGTACCTTAGAAGAGTATTTCTCAAAATATATTATTCCTACGAATCACCTGGAGATCTTGTTAGGACAGAGGTTGTGATTCAGGGCATAGAGAGTGGGGCCTGAGCTTGTGCATTTCTTACAAACTAATCCTGCTGGTCTTCTTGATTAAAAGAGAAAGGGATAGGTTTCCAGTCAAATAGCATTATTCCACCCTGGGGAATACCCATAGGATTGCCATCGTTTGTGGTGGGGAGTGGGTGCAGATTAGAAAACAGATCCTTACCCATCTCCCCCTCCACAAGTTACTGCTCAAGATCACCTACCTATGAAATAGAGGAGCTGATACCTTCAGAAAAATAGTTCCATCGGTCTTTATAAGTGCTCCAAAACCCTGTGAGCTGCTTTGTTTGATTGAGTCTCAGGTCCCTTGGCAGCCTTTCCTTTCAGGGGAGAATGAAGCAGTGAGCCGGGACTAATTGCCCAGTTATGTGAGTGGACTGAGCAGGGAACTCTCTCCACAATCTAATTTGGGGTCTGAAATTGAAGGGTTGATGCCAAAACACGTGCAAAGGGCCAAAGTTTCATTTCAGGCAAGCCATTTCTCTGAGCTTAAAAATGCCACCATGGTGAATTCATTTTTCTAGGTCTGTGTTTCTCCAAGATATTATCAAGGGACAATGTGTATCAGAGCCCCTGGAGACTCTGGTTCATGCATATTTCCAGAGATTCTGAGTCAGGAGGTCTGGGGTGGAACTCAGGAAGTGGTGATTTTAAGAAAACGTATCCAAGTGATTTTGATGCAGGGGGAGGGCCAGAGGTGGAGAAGTATGATTTGTAAGTAAATGTCCTTCCTTCCCTGTCGGCCATTTTCTTCTGAATCAAATGCTGCAGCCTAGAAACCAGATGAAACCAGAACTGTGCCCAACTATGACTGAGCTCAGAAGGAGGCTCTTCATTTGTTAAATTACGTATGACAGAGACCTCCGGACCCCTTTAGCTTCCAGGACACGCAGCTTGGAGCCCCTGGTTCCCTGTGATGTAGCGTTTTCTCAGCATAGAGCAGCCTGGGATTTGTTCTAATGTGCATATTGCTGGAAGATGTGAAATGGGGGAAATTTTCTCTCAGTCTTGAGATACTGAGGTCCCACTACAGCAATGTTTCACAACTTTTAAAAAAAGAACCAACAACGACCCCTTTAGAGGATTGTGAAAGCTTCTTACTCTGCTGACCCGTACTAGATTCAGATACATCTTTGGAGGATGCCCCAAAATACAGGGAGCAAATTCCATTTTCTATGCATCCCTACTAATGAAAAGAAATTTAAGGCACAGAGTATTTTTTGGAAATTTGTATCATAAAAACAACAAGTATACATAAATGGTTTATAATTTATGATGTTTTTTTAATCTTGAATGTGTTTTTAACGCCGTTTCAGCTGCACCGGAGGCATTGTGCTATGCTGTTGTGTAACTCCTGCCCCCCTTCCCATGCGACTTCATTGAGACTCACTCTGACAATGCCAGGGCCCAGGAGGGCCTCGTGGAAGAAGGCAGCTGGGCACAAGCCTGTTGCCATGGGAAGCCCAGGGCAGGAAGCGATTATTGGTCTCTGGGTGCACAGACTGATCTAGAAGGCTTCAGAGTACCTGAATTGGCCTGTCCAGGTTGGAATTTCTGCTAGTCTGACAGACAGCTAAAGGGGACTCAGGTGTACACTTGAGCAACTCAATAGTTCTTCCCCAGCTCAAAGTCAAATCATTTGATCTAAGGGGAAGGAGAATGAAATGGCCCTGTCTGGCAACTAAGCAACAACCTGGCCTTCGCAATCATGAAGAGTCTTTCATGTGACACAGAAAGTTGAGTGTAGAAACTGGAATGATGATATTGATGATGATGGCATTTAGAGCAGCAGGCACTGCCATTAATTAGGAGATTACAATATGTCAGGCACATGCATTATCCTACTGAACCTTCACACCAACCTTGAGAGGCATAGGTATCATTGTTTTTCCCATTTTACATGAGGAATCTGAAGTTTAAAGCTATTCAGTGATCTGTGCATGGTGACATGAGTATCGTGAGGCCTGGGTTTGGACCCTTGTTATAGCTACTATTTTTCAGGGCTTTTAATCGTTGAGCCCGCAACATTAATAAGACCATTCTTCTGGGGGCTGTACTTGATCTTCACACAGTGTGGAAGCTGAAGTTTGTCCTTTTAGTGATTCAAATACTTTCCCATCTGCTTGTGGACAAGAAAGGAGGGGCTCAGAGATCAGTTGGTGCCTCAAAAGTCACTCTTCCCTGCAGCTTATTTATTTCATATGCAAGTCTCCTAGCTCCCAGTCAAGTGCTCCAGCAAGATCCAGAAACTAAATATCCCCTGGAGCCTTTGTGGTCTATTGGTAATATACTATTAAATCAAACACCTGAGTTACAAATGCCAACTCTCCAAGGCAGTAAGTCTCATTTTTCTTATTAGTTCAGATGGCTTCAACACCTGGGATAATATCTATTAATAGAATGCAGTAAGTGTGCAACTACTATTTATTGCAAGAATGAACATCACTAGCAAACTATGAGATCTTGGAAACAGTATTTTATTTTCTTGATCTCCAGTTTTTTTTCTATTTTGAAATAAGCAGATGTGGTCTAGATATTTTGAGAGGCTCTTCCACTTTAAAACTTGTTTAGTTCTAGAACAAGTTTTCTTTAACTGAGGTCTGAAGATTGACCCATGTTCTCTCTGTAACTCGATGCATAATATCTTTAAAATCTGATTTACAATTATGCCTTACTTAACAATAGGAATATGTTCTAAGAAATTCATTATTAGGCAATCTCAGCATTTTGTAAACATCTTTGAGTATTCTTAGACAAACATAGATGGTATAGACTACTACACATCTAGGCTATACTGTATAGTCTTTTGCTCCTAGGCTACAAACCTCTACAGTATGACTACTGTAGGTAATTATAACACGATGGTAAATAAGTATTTGTGTATCTAATCATATCTAAACATAGAAAAGATAGAGTACAATTACAGAATTAAAAATAAAAATGCTACGCCTGTATAGGGCACTTACCATAAATGGAGCTTATAGAACTGGAAGTTGCTCTGGCTGAGTTCGTGATGAGTGAATGTGAAGGACATTACTGTACACTACTGTAGACTTTATAATAAACATTATATACTTAGGCTTCACTAAATATATAAAAAATGTTTTCCTTTCTTCAATAATAAACTTGGCTTAGTGTAGCATTTTTATTTTATAAACTCTTAATTTCTTTAACTTTTTGACTCATAATAACAGCTTAAAACACAAACACATTGTACAGCTATACAAAAATATTTTCTTTCTCTATATCCTTATCCTGTAAACATCCTTTTCTATTTTTTAAAATTTCTCATTTTTTTGCTTTTTAAATTTTTTTGTTAAAAAAATTGTTTAAATTTTTTGTTAAGAACTAAGAGACAAGCACACACCTTAGCGTAGGCCTAACACAGGATCAGTGTCATCAATATCACTGTCTTCCACCTCCACGTCTTGTCCCACTGTCTTCAGGGGTATAGTATACACATGTAGCTCTCATCTCCTGCAATAATAATGCTTTCTTCTAGAATACCTCCTGAGGGACCTGTTTGAGGATGTTTTAACTGAATTAACTTCTAAATATAAGTAGAGGAAATACATTCTAACGATATAAAGTATAGTATAGTAAATACATAAACCAGTAACATAGTTGCTTATTATCATCATCTAGTTTTATGTATATAACTGTACATGCTATAGTTTTATATGAGTGGCAGCTCAGTAAGTTTGTTCACACCAGCATCATACAAACACATGAGTAATGTGTTGCTCTATAACATTATGATGGCTATGACATCACTAGGCAATAGGAATTTTTCAGCTCCATTATATCTTATGGGGCCACCAGTGTATATTTTATCCATCATTGACCAAAACATCATTATATGCTGCATGACTGTATTTTAGTATAATTTACATACAGTAAAAATTTCCCCTATTTTACAGTTCTATGAATTTTGATGAATGTATATAATCAATCATGTAATCACTACTATAATCAAGATATAGAATATTTTAATTACCCCAGAAAGTCCCTTTATGCACCTCTGTAGGCAATTCTCTCCCCTAAACCCCTGGCAATTACTGACCTGTTTTCTGTTCCTATGATTTTGTCTGTTCCAGAATGTCATTTAAATGAAGTCATTCAAGATGTAGCCTTTTCAATCTGGCTTTTTCCACTTAGATTCATTTTGAAATTCATTCATATTGTCCTGTGTATTAGTAGTTTGTTCCTTTATATTGCTTAGCAAATATTCCATTACATGGATGTGCCATAATTTGTTAATCCATTCCCCAGTTGATGGTCATTTAGGTTGTATTCAATTTGGGGCATTTATAATGAAGCTGTTACCAATATTCATGCATAGATTTTTGTGTGAGCATATTTTTTAGTATCTCTTGTGCAAATATTTGCAGGGGGAGTTGGCTTATGTAGAATTATTGAGGAGTATGTGTATATATATATATATATATATATTTTTTTTTTTTTCTTTTCTGAGAAGAGGGTTCATAGCTTCTTCCCAAAAAGATCCAGGGCTCACAAAAGGTTAAGATCCACTGATCATGTCACTGCTTCCTCTCATTTGTGTTGGGTTCCTTAAGCTCAGCGGCCTGACTTTTCAAGTGGGTTATTAACAAATCAAGAGACGGCCTGGTTTAGTAAAATAGGCATTGATCAGGATTGAGATGCATCCCTACCACAGCCTAGTCTTTCGCTGTGTGATACTGCCAGTCTTCCTTCCCTTTCCAGGACCTTGGCAACCCCATCCATTGGTAACTGGTTTGATGACTAAGTTCTATTTCTCCATCCTGCGTTTCCCAGGCAACGCAATGCAAGCTTCCTCTCCAGTCTCCCGCCCCGCTGGAGCTCTGGCTCAGACACTAATCTCAGGCCCTCCAAGGACCCATCATTCAGGCCTGCCCTGCTTCCTGCAGAGGCACAAGCCCAGTACGGGAAGCTTTCTACCGAGTTGCTCTCATTCGTGTCCGTTAATGTCTGTCCCCGGGAGCAGGCATGCCAGGGAGGATGCTTATCAAGATGTGGCAAACCAAAACAGGGGCCCCAGATTGCCAGTCCTGGTTTTGCCACCAGAAGCTCACCAGACTTGGGAAAATCACTTCAACTTCCCTTGTTTAAAACCTTGAGTGGCTTTCCAGTATTGTAGGGGTTAAAAACCCAAAACGTTCACTAGATCTACAAGGCCTTAAGTGGCCTGACATTTGCCTGCCTCCCTATCCCTTACTGCTCCCTGGAGTTCCCTGCTGTTTGCATTCCAGCCCCAGTCACCTATTCCTAATTCTTCTGACACACCCCATGGCCTCCTTTCATTGGACCTTGCCCTGCAAATTTGCTTTATGCATAACACTGCAGCTACCAACCACAGCTGTCACCAGTTAATGCCTACTCCTTGTTCTGGGCTCAGTTCACATAGCACGTCCTCAGGGCAGCCCTCCCTGCCTCCATGTTCCCTCTCAGAGCATCATGTTCCTCTACTTTATAGCACTATCCCAGTAGAGAAGTTGCATTTGTTTGCATGAATATTTGATTAGCGTCTGTCTCTCACCAGACTATAAACTCCATGAAGACAGAGATTTGGGTTCATTCACCTAGATATATCCAGTGCCTGGCTCACAGGTGTGTGATAAATATTTGCTCAATATGTGAAATAAGATATTAATAATTACTGATCTGTGTTGAACACTGTGGGTCCACACTGTTTTCATGTGTCTATTTGATTTATCTGCATACAACCCTGTGAAACAGAGACTATTCCTATCATCCTTTTGAAGGCAAGGAAACCAAGACACAGGGAGTTAAGCACCAAGCCCAAGTTCACACGGCTGGTAAATGGCAAAGCTGGGGAAATTCCAAGGCAATTTGGCTCCGGAGTCTGTGCTATTGACCACTTCCTGTGCTCCTGCCCCCACCAGACCTCACTGGGTGGTCCTGAAATGAATATGTATAAGCAGAATGACAGAAGCGCTGTGGGATTATTTTAGCTGAAACCTCACAGTGGCTTATTATGGTGCATCACTGCCGTTTAGAGCTGTTTGCTCTGGAGTATGAACTGAGGTCTCTAACCTGTTGTCTCTTTCTAGATAATTTTTTGGGGACTCATTAGCACCCACATGGAGCTGGATGTGCAATATCTGGGGAAGCTGGTTGACGCCAGGTCCCTTGGTATATAATGTAGTGACCTTCAGTGGCTCTACCTGAGCCAGTGCTTTTGGAAGGTGCCATGGAGACTCTGGGCATAGGTTTGGGCCTTTGGTTTTGAGGTTCTCCAACATTTAGCTGGGCAATTATGTACCACTAAGCAGAGTTTTGAAAAAGCCTCCTGGAGAGTAATGAAACCAGAGTAGCAGAAAAATAAAGGCCTGCCTGCATGGAGAAGACAGAGTAACAAGGCCAAGTTTCAGGCTGTACCTTCCTCAGCAACGTGAGCAGAGTAGGTCTTAAGAACCAAGGAACAGAAATTTTTTTGGTTGGTTCCTGCATTTATATAACTTGTTTCTCATCAATAGCACAAGTTTCTCTATGACATGTGTCTTTGGGACAGCCCTGTAGTAGTAAGGATTCCCCATATGGCCTTGATTTATTCAGCTGGACTTTATTAAACATGAGGGGAAGGGAGCCACTGTGGGACACTCAGGGATGTCCACTGAGACATCAGATTGTAACCCTAAAACGGCTTTTCTACTTGGGGGTTATGCTAGCTCCCATCTCTCTCGTACCTTCTCTGTGCCCAGCATCTTGCTTAGAGTTTTACATCCATTGTCTCATGTTCTCATTACAACAAACAACACTACTCATATTCTACAGATGAGGAAATGGAGGATTACACTGAACCTCTTCTTGCCCAGGGTCATGAAGCTCTAACCTGTAGATCCCGGACTCATACAAGTGTCTGTGAGGCCAAAGCCCATCCACGTAACTGCCAGTTACCATGTGGGATCTCAAGTTCATTATTTAACCATATTAAGTTTCAGTTTCCTCTGTGAAATGGGATGAAACTTTTACCTTGACTTCAAGCATTTGCGAGCATTGAAAATTTAATTCATGCAAAATGTTTTGTTTACCACTATACTTGGCACGCTGTAAGTCTCAGTGTGGGTGAACCGCTATTATCCTCATCCTTATCATCATCACTATCACCATCATTGTTTGTCAAGGAATACGCAAAGTACTGTGGGGGTCCAAAGGAGGGGCAACCACTTTCACCAGGAGGATGGCGAGGAGGCAGTGTGAGGATAAATGTGAAAGCATCAACGGTTGAATTTGAACTCAGAAAGAGAATGTATATGTGGGGTTTGGGCATGAAAAAGGCATTCTACTAGAAGAAACAACTGAGTGAAAGCAAAGCCCTAGGAGGGCACTGGTAATGACTACAAATGGTGAATGGGCCATTTTGGCTTACTGTTGTTTACACACATGGAGATGAAGATGGACAGGTGCCTCAGGGTGATAGTCTTGGGAACCAAGTTGACTACAGGCTTGATTTATAGGAAGAGGGGACACATTGAATATTTATGACATGAGCAGAACTATGCCCCAGGAAGATTTGACAGGCCATCTATACCCACCATGGCTTGGGGACACGTGAGGGAATGGCAGGACGTGAGACTCAGGAGGGGACGGTTGATGGCAAGCCTGACCCAACACAGTGCTGTGTCCAGTTAGCAAGACCTATTTTGGCTTTGAATGGGGAAGGAGAATCTGTGCCCTCTGGGCCGGCCTTATGGAGTGCTCAAGACGTCATAGGTCTTGCAAGTTGCATTCTCAACCAGTTGTAGTACTTTAATAACATCTCTTACTTTGCTTTGTTAATTTGAAATTCGTGTCTGTCTTTGAAGTCCATGGGATTCTCATAGCAACCTTGTGATTCAATGAGGGAACTATCTGACCTGTGAGCTTATTGAAGGCACAGACTGTGCGTGATGTTTGCTTGAAATTTGGAATGTCAACAAGTGACTGAGTGAGTGAGTGAAAGATTGAATCTCTGTTTAACTCTTGAGGCAACTGAGGTGAGGAGATACGATGAAATTATCACAAGGTCTCCTGGTTGGTAACACATATGACTGGAACTTGAACCCGGGGTTTGTCACCTTTTCCAACGTTATTATTTTCATGCCTCTCCATTGACACTCCCTTAAAAGGGTACTTTCCAAAGTACACGAAACTTAATGACTTGGAATCCTGCTTGCTTTTTCTTGTTGTTTTCTTCCTGAAAGTGGAACTTTCCCTTTTACATGAGTCACGGGGAGAACACTTGGCTTCGTGCCCTCTGAGAGCTGCTTTTCTAAGCCCACGAGCCCCATGCTCCAACATGAGATAGCGCAGCTTAGTCTTCAGAGATATGAAAAGTACCAATTGTTTTGTTCTCCAAGCATTCAGAGACAGCTGTTGTTGTTTTTGTTTTTTTTTTTCCTTTTCTTTTGTTCTTTTATTTCCCTTTACAAGGTTTTCTTTTCCTTACAACAAGGAGAGCAAAGGATGGGAGGTAGATGGAGGAGCTCAGGTTAGCCTATGGCTCAGAAGTCTTAAATAGTTTGGGGAAAAAAATGAAATAACATAAAACTATAACTTCTCATTGTTCTCTGCAGCTTCTACCTCCCACTGCCAGTCTACTCTTTCGATCAAATATGTATAATATTGGTTATGGAGCAGATCAAAAACTTCTCTTTTCTCTGGATGTACGGTCCGTCGATCTTGAAGAAGGAGCATGGTATCAAAGAAGTTCACTGTCAAACACCTCCCTCCCCCTGTCTGTTCTTCCTCCCTGCTTCAGGGGGAACAAAAATCCAGGACTGCAGAAAGACCCTTTCATCTCAAATTGGTCTCTTTTCATTAGTGTCTTGGCCCAGAGGGAGGCTGGAGGCGGAGCATACTAACAATAGCATTGTCTCAGACACTAAATGTTAAATAATAAGATTTCATATTTGTACAGTGCCATGTTCATTGCTTTTACAGATAGAAACATATGCTGCTATGTTTTGAACAATAAATTAAGGAGCTATTTTGTGTATATTGCATAAATCACAGCTGCTTGTTGAAGGGTGCTGAGATCAAGGTGAGATCTCTGCACAAGTCAGGGCCCTCCTCCTGGACAGGTCTACAGTCTCAGCCTTGCCAGTGCTTCAGAGATGATCAGGTCCAAGAGTCCTGCATCATGCCGACTGAATGCTTGAGAGACTGCCCCATCAACTGTTATTGCAGTAGCATCCCTTTGCCAAGGTAAATATTAGTATTTAGTCCTATGGCTGGACAGTATTGCCTTTCCCATAGGGAAGTCTTCATGGAGAGCCTCCTTCTTTTGTCTGTTTGTTTGTATTTGTCATCCCAACATAGTGATTAAGAACTTGGGGTTTGGAATCAGACAGATTTTGTGTATTACTTACCTATTGCTGTATAACAAATTACCCCAAAACTTGGTGGCTTACCACAGCAATAATTATTTGTTATCCCTTATGGTTCTATGGGCCAGGAATTCACACCAAGCACAGGGGAGATGGCTTGTCTCTGGTCTACAGTGTCTGAGATCTTATCTCTTTCATTCTCCTGTGGTGGCTTTGCTGGAGCTGTCATTTGCAGCACCTACACAAGGCCGCTCCACGTGGTCTGGGCTTCCTCACAACATGGTGGCCTGGGCTTCCTCACAACATGGTGGCATGGTTTCAAGGGCTAGCATGGCCAAAGGTAAGGCAGAGACCATACATTGTGATGCTTTGTGGAAAGTTCTGTCCATAACAGAAGGTAGATTGTCAGGAGAGAGAGATTGATACAGAGAAGGAGACAGGGACAGAGAGGTAAGGAGGGAGAGAAATGAGAGTTAATTCCAAAGGTGTCCATGTTTGTCTAACAGTTCTTCACAGAAACAATAGGTAAAAAATCGCAGCCACCTTTCCTTGTCAGATCCGTGTATTTAACGTGTGAGAATGAATATATCAGAAAGTTGTAGCTTAGTGATAAATTATCCAGCTAACAGTCTCTCCATCCCAGGTTCACCAGTGCTACCAAATTAACATTGCCTGAACACCTACTTTGTCTAAGCATTTTTACAAGCATAATATCTTTAATTCCCATGACAACCCAATGAACCCAATATTGTAGTTTCCCTCCCCCCCCCCAATCAGAACTTAGAGGGTATGGAAACTTCTCAGTTTTCCATGCAAACAATACTGCTGAGAAGGTTGACTTTTAAGGATGTGGAGCCATTATTCATTCTCAGACATTCACCTATTTTAGTTTCAGAGTGTAGTTCTATTGTAGTCTTTCCTAATACCTATGGTCATCTAAGAAAGTCTTTTGGTTGATTGGTTAGGGTATTCTTATCACATTATCTAACTTCACTTTTTTTTCCTGCCAGACTTGCCTTTGATCCCTTATGTGATTATTCATCCCCAACAAAAATCTACACTAAACAATGAAAGATGCTGCAATAGATCTATATTTCTAAGCAACTGTCACCTCGCCTAAAAAAGTATAATAGCAAAAATGTTCCTTTTAAAAAAAATTGTTTCAATTGCTATAGTAGTCTTCTTTCTTTTAACAGCTTTTATTGAGTTATGTCACATATCATATTCATACACTTAACGTGTTCAATGCATTATCTTTTAGTATATTCATAGATATGTGCATCCATCACCATAATCTAATTT